CGCGCGCGTGCTCAAGGGGGTCTGCCTCTGGCGAAAACCTGTTGGCGGCCCCCTGCTTCCGCGCGCGACTTGGGGTGGCACGGGACGCTGCCGCCTCTGCGGAGGCTCGTGCAGCGAGAGGCGGCGGCCGACGACGGGGCGCTGCGGGCGCACGGGCTTCGGCCGACGCGCTCATCACCAAGATCCTGGCAGAACTGGAACGGCTGCGGGCACTGATTGGTCCAGGCGGCGGGGTGACCTTGGACTCTGAGGTCGCCCGTCGTGAGGCCTTGGCCAGGCCCGCCCTGCGTGCCCGCGCTGCTGGCCAGGAGGAGCGCTTCGAGGACAGGCTGATCCGCAACGTGGCCCTCCATGCGCAGCGGTGTCCTTCAGCTGGAGCGCCGCCTCGGGAGTGGCGCAGCGCGCAGAAGGGCCCTAGGCTGCGGGGGGCTCCCAGCAGTGCCGAGGCTGGACCGCTCATCCCAGCTGTGAGGGCGCTCCTGGATGGAGCGGGCGAGCCCTTCGAGCTCCCGCAGGGCCCTGGTGGTGCCACCACTTGGCGCCTGGAAGCCCTGGAGGCTGTGCTGGCCAGAGACGCCGTCAGTCGGAAGGAGCTCAATGCGTCCGCCGCGGAGTTCATCCCGTCTGCTGGTTTTTGGGAGCCTTGCGTGCCGGGCGTGGATCCTCGTTGCCCCCCAGGGCGCCTGGAGGTACCTGGGGCTGCAGGCCGGCGATGTATTTGCGGCACTGTCGTGTTCTCCTGCGCGGAGCAGGGCTGGGCGCCCTCGAGTGTCATGGAGCCGCAGGGCGCTGCCGAGAGCAGAGTCGCCAACCAGCTGGAGGACAAGCAGGAGGCCGCGATGACCGTCGGAGTCTCTTGTGCAGCAGGTCCCGAGGGTCCCATCGCCGTTGCGAACGCTGAGCCTGACTTCTTCCTGCTGGTGGAGAAGTATTGGAACGACCCCAAGGTGAGGGAGGCCTGCGACAAGGCCTACGGCGTGCGGACACGTCAGCGAGAACTACAACCCAGTGCTCGACGTGTCCCAGCTCAGACTCACCGAGATGTTCCCGTCACCAGTGCGGCCTGGTGGAAGGCCCGCCAAGAGGTGGCGAATGTGTGGAGCAGGGATACTGGTCCAGGTCAACATGCCCGCTGATTGTTGCCGTGTAGTGCTCACCTTTCTTTCTTGCTCAGAGACGTGGAATAGCAGTGGGTATCTAGAGGGAGCGGCTTCGGTGGCCTCCCCGCCTCTGCGGGGGGCACGGCCTGGAGGGTGGTGCTGAGCACCGCCCCAAGTGACGCTGCATACCTCCGCTCCCAGGGAGTGGCTTCGATGGACTCCCCTCTTTTGAGGGGGGCACAGCCTGGCGGGTAGTGCTCGGCGCTGTCCCAGGTGATGCCGCACACCTGCCAGGGAGCGCGTTTTTAACCTCAGAGATCTCGGATTCTGAATGGCAAGTGCCCGTGGCCTAAGGGCCTGCACTTGACTCGCCCTGGCCCCTGGCTCGCCCAGAAGAGGACCCTGGAGGCGAGTGGTGGGGCCACCTGCGTTATCTCTAACCGTTGTTAGTTTCCAACGTTGTTGCTCTGTCTTTGCGTGCTCGCCCCTTCGTGGGCGGGCGGCGGACTTTGGCCATTGCCTGCGGGTGGTGGCTGGGGGCAGCCAGGCACCTGGGCCTCTGTGTGGCGGTCCAGGCCTTCGGGCTCCGCCCTGCAGGAGTGGGGGCAGAGGTGCTCGGTGGTGTTTCGGGGGGCCCTATCGCAGCCCCTTTGATTCTGGACTGGTGGGAGGCAAGAGATCTCAAGGCCTTGGCGGATCGAGCTGGGGCGCACACCTTTTCAGCCTGTTGGAGCGAGGGGTGGCCTTCCCGTGATTCCATACCTTCTTGGCACGGTGTCGAGCCAGCGCCTGATCCCTGTTGATCGGGGCGCCAGGAGGCTTCGAGCTAGGCTTGATGTACTCCTTTGTTCGCCGTGTATGCATGTAGGAGAACGAGGAGGAGGAGGAGGAGGAGGAGGAGGAGGAGGAGGAGGACGTGGACGAGGGGGCCAGGGAAGAGGAGAAGCACCAGGGGAGCGATGGAAGGAATCGATGATGGGAAGAAGAGGAAGGTGAGGGAACGAAGAGTAGTGGGAGAAGGAGGGAGGAGGAGGAGGAGGAGGAGGAGGAGGAGGAGGAGGAGGAGGAGGAGGAGGAGGAGGAGGATGACGAGAGGAGGAGGAGGAGGAGGAGGACGAGGAGGAGGAGGAGGAGGAGGAGGAGGAGGAGGAGGAGGAGGAGGGCAGAGGAGGAAGGATGATAATGAGGAGAGGGGGAGGGGGGGGGAGGAGGAGGGAGGAGGCGGAGGAGGAGGGAGGGAGGAGGGATGGAGAAGGAGAGGTGGACAGGAGGGAGAGGAGGAGGAGAAGGAGGAGGAGAAGAGGATGAGAGGAGGTGGTGATGATGATGATGAGGAGAGGATGAGGAGGAGGAGGAGGAGTAAGGAGGAGGAGGAGTGGAGAAGGAAGGAGGAGGGCGAGGAGGAGGTGGAGAGGGGGGATACGCCCGGGAATCGCCACAATACATTACACGCATCCGCGGCCCAACGGCGACCCCCTGCAGGGCTGGCCTAAGCGCAAGCCCTGTGAATCCTCTTGGGCGAGGCGCTGGTGAAGCAGCTGCTCCAGTTCGCCCCCCCCGCCCCCTCCTCCGCCTCCTCCGTCTCCTCCTCCCTCTCCGCCTCCTCCTCCCCCTCCGCTGTTTCCGCTGTTTGCCGCGCCATGAAGGTCTGTGCCCTGCAGCGCCACCCTCCCCCTCCTCCTCATCCCCCGCCTCCTCCCCCTTCTCCTCCTCCTCATCACCATCACCATCACCATCACCATCACCATCATCATCATCATCATCATCATCATCATCATCATCACCACCACCATCATCATCAGCAGCAGCAGCAGCAACGGCAGCAACAACAGCAGCATCATGATTCGCATCGTCATCGTCGTAGTCATTTTCATCAACAACATCAGCATCAGCATCAGCATCATCATCATCAACATCATCATCAACATCATCATCACCACCATCACCATCACCACCACCACCACAACCACACCCACCACCACCACCATCAGCATCATCATGCTCCTCACCGTCGCCGTCGACATCACCACCACCATCATCATCATCATCATCATCATCAGCATCAGCATCATCAGCATCAGCACCACCACCACCATCACCATGACCAGCATCATCATCAGCATCAGCATCATCACAAGCATCAGCATCAGCATCAGCACCAGCACCATGATCATAATCATGACGATAATCATCATCATCATCATCATCACCAGCATCAGCATCGGCATCATCATCAGCATCGGCATCGGCATCATGAGCACCATCATCATCAGCATCATCATGGTGATCATCAACATCATCATCACCATCACCACCACCACCAGCATCATCATCATCAGCAGCATCAACATCACCATCGTTATCAGCATCAGCATCATCGTGATCATCGTCGTCATCATCACCGTCATCGCCATCATCATCATCATCACCATCATCCCCATCATAATCCTCACCATCATCGGCATCATCAATATCAGCAGCATCAGTATCCTCAGCATCAGCATCAGCATCATCATCATCATCATCATCATCATCGCCAGCACCAGCATCAGCACCATCATGATCATCATGATCATCATCATCACCAGCATCAGCATCAGCATCATCATCATCAGCAGCAGCAACAGCAACAACAGCAGCATCACAATCCACAGCGTCATCGTCGTAGTCATCATCATCATCATCATCATCATCAGCATCATCATCACCATCATGATGATGATCATCATCATCATCATCATCATCATCAGCATCGTTATCATCATTATCATCATCAGCATCGCCAGCACCAGCATCATCATCAACATCATGCCCATCATGATCATCATGATCATCATGATTATCATCATCATAATCAAAATCATCATCATCGTCGTCATCATCATCATCAGCATCATCCTCATCGTCATCGTCATCGTCATCGTCATCGTCGTCATCGTCATCATCATCATCATCATCATCATCATCATCATCATCATCATCATCATCATCATCATCATCATCATCATCATCATCATCATCATCATCATCCGCCTCGCTCCCTCCCTCCCTGCCTCCCTACCTTCCCCTTCCCCTTTCCCTTCCCCTCCTCCTCCCTCCTCCTCCTCCTCCTCCTCCTCCTCCTCGCCTCTGCCTCCTCCCCCCCCTCCTCTCCTCACTCCTCGAGCTCCTCCTCCTCCCTCCTCCGCCCGGTCCTCCGCCCTTCCTCCTGCCTCCTTCCCCTCCTCCTACACGCATTCCTTCCTCCTCCTGCCTCCTGCGTTCCGCCTCCTCCTCCGTCCCCCTCCTCCTCCTCCTCCGTAGCGCCTACCTCCTCCTCCTCCTCCTCCTCCTCCTCCTCCTCCTCCGTCCCTCCTCCCCCCACCCGGTTCGTCCTCCCTCCCACCTCCCACCTTTCTGTGGAAGGGGAAGCGGGGGAGGATGGAGAGGGAGGCGGAGCAGAAAAGGACGAGGTGCGCAGCCATTCAGCCCCGCCGACGGGCCTGGGCTAGCAGCAGGTAAGGGGGCGCGAGGGCCCCGCTGCATCTCCCCGGATCTCGTGCACAGGGCGGTGGCTCAGCGCAGCGTCTCGATGGGCGGCGCCGCCTTGTCCGGCGCGATGGCCTTGAGACCAGTGCCGTTCGCAGTGATCTCCTCGAGGCTGCTCAGCACGGTCGAGAAGTCTGGCTCCTGACACAGCTGGTTGATCTTTCTCCCGAACTCCTTCTTCGAGTCGGTCTTCAGCCCGCCGTCCTTGCGCCAGTCCTCGAGGGGCCCAAGGCTCTTCTCCAGTGTCTGGAGCTGGTCGTTCGCGCCCTGGATGTTGACCAGCAGGTCCTCGGGGGGGGCGTCCTCCAGCTGGCTGTGGATCTCCTTGTAGAGGTCGAGGCGGGGGACGGTGCGGTACAGCCACAGCTCGGTCAGCTGCTGGCAGTTGCTCCAGAACTCCTTCATCCTCGCGCTCTGGGCCTCGAACGCCTCGTTCTGCTTGGCCAGCGTCTTGACCTCTCGCTCCAGCTGCTGCAAGATGTCGACCTGCTCGAACCGTATCAGCATGACTATGAGGCAGAACTGCGTGACGACTGCCATGAAAACCCCGAGGGCGTGCATCGTGATCGAGCCCTGGTTCATCAGCTTCTTCGCAGAGCCCATGTGGACGATCTCCAGCGCCAGGGTGATCCATCCGAGCCAGAAGGTGCTGATGAGCAGGAAGTGCTCTTTGGAGAGGATGGTTACCGACATGCAGACGCATCCGAAAGTCCTAGGGAAGCCATCCTCGCTGTCTTTGTTCCTGCACTGGCACGTACAAGCCTGGCCCTTACCGCAATTGAGCCAACTGACCGTCGTGCGCTTCTTCATCGCCATCTCCACCGTTCTGCCGGACATGAGCGCGAGCTTCTTGGTGCCCTTCGGGATCTTGGCGGTGATGCGGTGGAACGCCGTCTTGTTGCTCGAGAGCATCTTCTGGTCCTGCTCCCGCTGCATGCTGATGAAGCGCACCTCGGTCACGCGGAGGCGCTCCTGGTGGAAAAGAAACAAACCGCATAAACATACGCTCGTGGAGGTCCGCGCGGAGCGCCAAAAGCCTATGCTTATGGCGATGCTCTCCCCCGAGCTCCAAGCACAGGTCGGCGATCTCGGCGATGTTGGAGCACTGCAGCAGCTGCTCCTCCGTCACCACCACCTTCGGGTTCTGGCCGGGATCGATGGAGCACTCCTCGAACACGTGCAGCCAGTTGAGGCAGAAGCGACGGAACTCGGCGACGACGGAAGCACAAAACGCAGACACGGGCATGCCTTCTCGGAAATTGGCGCGCGGACTTCTGGGACCGGCGCTGCACCCCCCTCCCCCGGCTCGCGGAGCGCGCCAGGGGCGGCGCCTGGGGCGCCGACAAGGGGGGGGAGGAGGAGGAGGAGGAGGAGGAGGAGGAGGAGGAGGAGGAGGAGGAGGAGGAGGAGTCCCAGGACAGTGTCCAATATTCAACCTCAGCATGGGAGACCCTTACGCGCTCTGCTGGCCTTCTCCGCGGTGCTGTATGCCTTGGGCCACAATCCCTTCTCAATTCGATTGAGATCTGCAGCTCTGGTCGGGGTGGCCGTCTCTAACACACACCCTTCCCAATCCCAGAAGCTGCAAGTCTCCGAGCATCCCACGCACAGAACAAAACCAGACGTCAACGACTCGATAGCACTTCGTCCTGTGTGGCCCCCCGTGCACCCGCCCCCCCAGCGACGTGCAACTCCGCCCCCTGGGCCTCTCGACGCACTGTCGATCGCCACAAGCTTGAAACACGGCGACGCCCGCCAACGGCGGGTCTCCGAGATCGACGCAGAACCCCCCGACACATGCGGCCCCGACGCCCCCCCAGACATGCGACGTCCTGATTTTTTCAGGACGGCGTCCCTGGAAGTCCAGACCATTTCCCCGGGGCCGGTTTTTCGTCCTGACTCTTTTTTGGCGGTCCCGAGGCCTCGCGAGGGCCCCCAGGGGCCGAAAATAGCGAAAAACCTCCCGTCCTGATTTTTTAACCAACGCCATCATGTCTGGGCCGACTCCTCGTCCAACGCGCGGGAACTGGACCGGCTGGACACGGCCTCGGGGCACGGCGGGGGGCCAGGACTGGGCAGGAAGCAGGGGCGCAGGAGGCGGGCGCGAGGGAAGAAACACTGCCCGCCCGCACTCACCGCCCGGCCTCCTCTGCTGCCACCCCTTCTGAGCCCTCGCGAGGGCCTCCTCCAGGGGAACAAAAAGTGGCACAAACATAAAAGTATCTGCGTTGCTGTGCTGTCCCTCCCTCCCACCCCATCCCTTCCTCCCGGCGGGCGCCTTTCTTAATGGAATGGCGCTTGCTGCGAGCCCCTGTGCTACCTGGCGCCCGGGCTCGTTCGCCTGCTGGAAAATCATGATATTTTATCCGGACCAACACGTACTTACAGCAACAAGTTGAACAGGGGAGGGGGGGTGCGGGTTCAACTTGACCCGAACGGCTACGGAGACATGCACTACGCACTCCGATACCCTTAGTGTACGCACAAGTGCTGCCACAACGGGTATCTGCGTTGCTGTGCTGTCCCTCCCTCCCACCCCATCCCTTCCTCCCGGCGGGCGCCTTTCTTAATCGAATGGCGCTTGCTGCGAGCCCCTGTGCTACCTGGCGCCCGGGCTCGTTCGCCCGCTGGAAAATCATGATATTTTATCCGGACCAACACGTACTTACAGCAACAAATTGAACAGGGGAGGGGGGGTGCGGGTTCAACTTGACCCGAACGGCTACGGAGACATGCACTACGCACTCCGATGCCCTTAGTGTACGCACGAGTGCTGCCACAACGAGTATCTGCGTTGCTGTGCTGTCCCTCCCTCCCACCCCATCCCTTCCTCCCGGCGGGCGCCTTTCTTAATCGAATGGCGCTTGCTGCGAGCCCCTGTGCTACCTGGCGCCACCCTTTAGGCCTGGGGGTCGCCTGCGCGTCGCCCGCGCTACGGGAGGCCCTCGCTAGAGGCTACCCCAGCGTCGCTCGCCGGAGTCTCCGAGGAAGGGTGGATCTTAGGCCGGCGACTGCCCACTGGCAACCCCGGGACAATGGCCCACTGGAGCGCCGGGCCGCCGAAACCTTTGGGCTGCTACCCCACTGGCCACACCGGGTACTCCTTCGTGGCCGGGGCTGCCCCGCGCGGCGCTGCCCCACCAGCTACCAGGGGTCGGTCTCCCTCAGCCGGGGCCGCCGGGGCCGCTTCGGCAGCTCCGTGGAAGCCTGGCGCTTCTGCTGTCCACGCTGCTCCTTCACAAAATCGACCAACGAGGCCCCCGTCTCTAGGACCTTCGGAAGCAGCACGAACTCCAGAGACGCGGGGTCAACGATGATCCGCTTGCTCTCTGTGAACCTCCGGAAGACCCCCTCCGAGAGCTCGTCCGCCTCGACGTTCTGCTCCCGCGGGGTCCAATCAAGGTGAAGCTCCGCCTGCCAGCGCTGTAATTGCGCCGCCAACTCCATCACGAAGGCGCACAAGGGGAACTTCGTAGTGAAAAGCCGCTGCACTACGTAGCTGTTGCCCTTGTTGTCGGTGGTTCCCGACAGCAGCAGCCTGCCAGCATCGCCCTGCAGGGAGGCCTCCGGCAAGAAGACCATGCACGATATGAGCGTGCCGTACATTTCAAGGGCCGCTATGACCCGGAAGGGCTCCCCAGCTCTGAACGCCCACGGCGCGTTGGCCCGCGTGAGCTTCACGTGGAACCATCTCGCGTCAGCTGGCGCAACTCCGCCCCGGCACTCCCGGCCACCGATGCCGATGTCGTCGCCCTCGGCCTTCGCGTCCGAGCGGAACCACTCCACTGCCCCTTGGGCTGGTTTGCACCTGGGCCAGCAGGGCCGCGCGCCTCCGTCTGCCAGCAGGCGGTCCGCGAAGAACTCCAGCACGAGCCTGACCACCGGGGGAATTCCTAGGTATGCCCCCGCTGGGGCCGCCGCCGCCCAGGAGTAGAGCGGCGCCAACAGCGGGCGATAACAGGGCAACGCTTGCACTGCGAACGACAGCCTGCCGAGCGCCTCGCCAAATGCGCTCATGAGCACCTGCCCCTCAAACAGAATGTCACGTATCCAACGCTGGACCCATTCGACCCTCCTGGCCGAGATCCCCAGCGACCTGTGCGACAGATCGATCTGTATACCAACCCACTCGATGAAGGTACCTCCTCTAGAGAAGGGCGTTCCTACGACTAGGAACCATAGAAGCACTAGGAGGGCGTCCTCGTGAAGCCGGCGGCCCGAAAATAACCACGGGAAGTCGTCGGCGAAGAGCAGCTGCCAGAACTCCGCCTTCCCGACGAAGCCATGCACTGACCTGGATATAGCGCTGGCGAGCCTCGCCCACCAGTAACCAGCACTCGCAATGCCAAAGGTTCCCACGGCGTTCAGATAGACGTGGTCCGGGTCGTTGGGAAGCGCGCAAGCCTGGCAACCCCAATCCCTCCTCGCCACCCGGACAAGCCGGTGCGCCCTCCTCACGTCGGCCTTCAAGGCAATCAGAGGCAAGCCTTCAGCCCTGGAGCGGCCCAGGATCCAGCGGAGCTCGTCGATACCCGGCTGGCGCACTTGGTCCCTAGGCTTGATGTTGGGATTGATTCTCACGCCATGCGTCCCGTCGTGCACCAAGCGGAACGAGTCGGTTCCTTTCTCCAGCGCCGCCAGCGCCGCCACGTGCAGACGGGGCCCGAACTCGCGGCGCGCATCTGCCAAGGGCATCCGGGACATGAGGCCCTCCCGGACCTCCTCCTCGAACTGCGTCCGGATCTCCCCCGCCCGGCCTATGGCTGAGACGTAGTTGCCCTTGTCCTCTGGCAGGCCCTCCACCACGTCGCGGTCGTAGCGCCTCCAATGCACCTTCCGCTCGAAGACCGCCGGCGTCCTCGGCATGAGCTCCCCGAAGCCCAGGGCGACGCCGGACGTGAAGGAGTCCTTGGAATCCTCGAAGATCCTCCAGTCTGGGTCCCCAACCTCCTTGAGGTGGACCCCCAGCGCCTTCAGGAAGAACGGCTGTCGTTCTGGGACCTCCGCCAAATCCACCCGGCCTGACGCGACTCTCAACTCCGAGAGCCACGCGTCGCGGGCCTGTTGCACGGCCGCGTCCGGGAAGGGAGGGCCCTCCACCCCGCCACAGGCCAGCCTCGCGAAGATTTTCATCGGGTCCTCGAGCCCCTGGACGATGCTCCGGAATGTGCCCTGCAGCCGGGCCAACCAAGGAGGAGTCGCGCAGTTTCGTGACTCTGGCGCCCATCGCCCCAGAGAGCACAAACCGGCGCCGTCGACGAATCTCTTCGGTTTGCCTGCGGACCCCACCTCCGCAGGCGGCCCATTGCCCCAGGGGCCCTCGCCAAGACGCGCTCGGCGACCTCCATCCCGAGATTCAGGACTGGCGTCGCGCCCATCGACCTCGGGGGGGCTCTCTCTCAGCTCCTTCCCGGCGCCCTTCTCCTTGAAGAGCTTCACCAAGACGTCCCCGTGGCAACTCTGGCCTTCCCGGCAATGGCATGCCAGGGACTTGCCAGCGAGCTCCTCCAGGTCCTCCCAGAGCTCCCGCCTCGCGTACTCCTCGAAGCGCTTCAAGCAGGCGTCCCTGCCCAGCTCTGCCACCTTGAAGGGGTTGTGCCATTTGCTTTTCGGCAGCGTGGCGGTGCCGCGACCGATGTACATGCTCTCGTGGTCATCTGGCCTGGCTGCTGCCAGGGTTACTCGCGTCGGGGCCGCTGCAGCCCGGCCCCCCCCTTCAGGCAGCGACCGACGGACCTCCAGGAAATGCGCCAAAACTAATTTGGCAATATCCCGGCACATGGGCGATGGGTAAGCCGTCGCCTTCGTTGTCCTGAACGCGTCGCCATCGCCTCCTTTCCCAAGCAGGTCCTCGTGGTCGTGTCCGCAGTGCTGCGGCAACGGCCCCAGGTAGACTCCGTCGGGGGAAAACTGCGGCCAACCCTGGGCGCCGAAGGCGTGATGCCCTAGCAATGTGCTCGCGGTTCTGGTCGGCCTGCGGCGGTGGACTCCCGGCCACCGACACTGGAAGAAGGCGGCGGTGGTGGCGTCCGTCTCGAGCGCCAGCCTGCGCATCTCCTCTTCAGGCTGCCAGATTGAAGCCGGCCTCTGGTTCCAAGTGGCCACTCTCCCTAGATCCTCTGGGAACTCCAACCACCGTGCGGATCGGGCGGGCGAGCGACAGCCCTCCCGGATCGCCGCGGCTATGCGGTCCAGCGATTCGTTCGCCACCTGGACCTTCTTGCGTTTGCCCCCCTCCAGCCACGGGAAGCCCTTGGAGAACTCACTGTTCCGAAGTGGTCGCGGCCCTGGGCTGGTGGACCAATGGGCCCGGGAGTGCGCGCTGGACGACGGGGTGGCCAGGATGACGTCGAACGCCCCGTGCGCAATCTCTGTCACGAGCGGGCCCCAGACGTGCTGATCTGTCACAGCATCCTGCGGCGGCCTTAGCACGTCGACCTCTCGCATGCACAACGGGACATCGGCGCTCCGGCAGAGCTGCGTCAGCCAATAGCGGATGTCGCCGCGCCGCTGCTTCCCCACGAATAGGTAAAGCACGCGCAGCCCGCCACTCGGCTTCACTACCACCTCTGGAGCGCCCGTCCCTGGAGTCGGCTGCGTCGCAACCGGCCCCAATGCCCCTGTCGTTGGACCTTCGGGCGGGGACGTTCCCGAAGGCCCATCTGCATCTCACCTTTTCTTTGGCGCGGCGCCAGGGCGCCGCGGACAGTCGTAGGCCGGATGCTGGTCGGAGAAGCAGACCTGGCAAACGTGGGCGCGGCCGCAGTTGCCAGAGCACTTCTGGCCCTTGTTGTTGAACTTGAAGCATATGGCCCTGCCGTCGGGCGTGTTCCAGTGCTTCTTCCCTTTGCTGCATTTGCCGTCGCCCTTCCTGCTACTGCCGCCGCTGCCGCCGCCGCCGCCGCCCCCGCCGCCGCCGCCGCCCCCGCCGCCACCGCCTCCGCCGCCACTACCGCCGCCGCGGCCGAAGCGAGCCCAGCCATCGACGCCGGCCGAGCTCTTCCGGAGGCGGTCGAGCGAGGCGGCGCCCCGGGGCAAGTCGAAGAACTGTTCGTAGTTGCTCAGGGCCAGCGCCTCGGTGCCCGTGCACAGGCCGGGGTCCTCCGTCCTCTGGCGCTTGTTGGAGTCGACCGTGTTCTGTTGCCTCGTCAGGGGGCCGATGAAGTGCAAGCTGCGCAACTCGGCGTCCTGCAGGGCTGCCTTCAGCCCCTCCGCCATCGTAGAGTCTTGGCGTACCTGGTCGTACGCCATCTTACGGAGCTCGAACTCGTAGGACAAGACCGACCTCCACGGAGGCCGAGGGCCGTCTGCAACTTCGCCATCGGGCCCAATGGCCGGCAGAAGGGCCACCTTCTTGCCCAGCGCGTAGTCGGCGTAACGCTGCCATAGCGTCGGCGTCAGTCCCGCCAGCCACGGCCGGTTGAACTTCATGGCCCCGAACATCCACGCGTTTCCCAATACGCGCAGCCTCACCCTGAGCTCCTCGGGCGACTGTGGAATGCGCAGCTGTGCAGCCGCGCCCTTTTTGACGACCAGCCGGTTGTTGTTATCCACCTCCGTGGACAGGAAATCCTCCTCTTTGTCCTCCTTCGAGGCCACCTCCATCAAGGATTCGGGCCTCGGCTCATTCTGCTCGATCTGCTCCAGCTTCATGCTCGGGTAGTGGCGCCCGGGAACCTCGTCGTTGGGCAGTTCGCCCCACTTCTTTTCGAAGGCGTTCCTCAAAGATGCGTGCTCCGGGCCCGAGATGAGGATGTTCTGCGAGGTGGCCCTCGCTTCTGCCCGGATGGCGTTCTCTCGGTGCCACTGCAGCTTCGCCGCCTCCCAGGCTGCCAGCAAGTCCGCGACGGCTCGCCGCCCTGCCAAGCCGTCCTCCGATCACCCCCGGCAATACATCACGGAAGCATACATTCAGGATCCGTGAATAAACAATTTTTTCTTGGAAATACACAACCCCCTACCACCGTTAACGAGTAGAAGATCATACATATACAAACTGACCCTGCGAAACCGATAATTAACGACATCAAAACTGCGTCGCAAGAGGGGTTGCACGAAAAATAACGAGTCGACCCGAACATGAAACCCTACTTTCGCGATAAATAAAACTTCAAAAAACCTATATATATATATATATACATATATACATATATATACGAATACAATGTTAATGCTGATCCAAAATAATCTCACTAACCCCGATCTTAAACCCCGAGCCCGAACGCAAGCACGACCGCGAGCCCGAATGCAGAGCTCAAACCCAATATCACAGAGCCCGAACCCGAGCGCATGCCCGAGCCGAATCCCAAGCCAAGCCCGAGCCCGAACCCGCCAAGTCCGAGCCCGAGCTCGAACCCGAGCCCGAGCCCGAGCTCGGGCTCGAGCCCAGACCCGGACCCGAGCCTGAGCCCAGAGCCCGAACGCGAACCTGAACGCGAGCCCAAGCCCGAGCTCGAGTACGAGCGCTAGCCCGACTCCTCGCCCCCCGGGGCCGAGCGCGCACGGCGTCTCAAAGTCTCATCCTCCGCCTGAGCCCTGTCTCCGGCCAGCGAATAACAGGAAACCCCGGCCCGCAAATAACAGATTTAGTTTTGCGTTCCTGGACCGCGCGACCACACAAATCTAAACATCACCTCAAAAAACAGGGTCATCTGAAAGAAAAAAACTTTAAAGAGACGCATACCGTAACACACAACCAAAACTGCTGAAAACAACTGCCTTTGAAAAAAAAAATGCGGGACCGCAAATGCAAACAAGACCCATGAAAACAAACATGTTTAAAATCACGCGTGGAACACAGAAGTGAAAACTGCAAACGGAAATACGACTAAACAAAACAAAATATCTGAGTAAAACGCGCGGGTCGTGAATACAAGCAAGAATCTTGCAACAACACCACTTGAAAAAAAAACGCTCGAACCGGAAATGCAACCAAGACTCATGAAAACAAACTCTTTTAAAAAAATGTAAACTGCAAGCGCAAGTAATAATCCTACAATGAAGCTGCGATTCTAGAAAGTGCGCCCTGCACACACCGAAACAACGCAAACACACGAAAGACAAGAAAATATGTAAATGAATTTGGAGATCCTTGACGACGCGACCCGCGCACACAACGCTAGAAAAAAACATACAAAAAACACAGAATAATCTAAATGGCACGGCCAGCGCGCACACCGTCACAGAGACCGCGCAACGGACACGGAAACTATTTAATTGATTTCGCGATTATGCGACGACGCGGCCTGCGCACACAACGTCATAGAGAACACACAAAACAGATAAGAGCATTTAGGTGGCACGGCCCGCGCACACAGCGCCACAGAAAGCACACCAAAGGCGAAAACATTTCAATTCGCGATTCTCGACGACACCGGCCTGCACGCAAGACGCCACCGAGAGCACACAAATGACACGAAAACATTTAGACTCAACTTTCCATTGTGGCGTGCAGCTTTGGGCTCCGGGCGCATTTATTTTCCTGAATTTCGATTTTTGCAACTCTTTCAGAAATGATTTCTGAAAGGTTTCCCGAATCTGCTAAACACGTCTGGCTGCTGACCCCGTGGGGCTAGGGGACCGATTTCCCGGAATTCTGCATTGTAAGGTGTGCCGCTACGTCCTGTTTTAGTCTCAGACCGTTAGGGTTACAACGCCAAATTTTCGAATTCCCCCCGACCCATAGCGACGCATGCGTCGCTATGACTTGGCCGCCGAACGTCTGGAAACTTACAAGTTGTGCAACGCTCCCTGGGCCCTGAAACCACTAATGTTGAACGCAAAAGGTTACACAATTGAGATTCGCATGATTTTCAGCCCGCTAGCAGTACTATAGCACGAGAACGGGTCAACAGAGCATTTGCGCAAGCACGAACGTACGGCGCAGCAAGGACACGAGAGAACTGTGGACTGTAACCACTTTGGCTCAATATCGAGGTAAAAGACACTATTGTCGTCGAGTCGTCTGCCGGTTCGTCACTGTCAGTATTGTCACAATACCTTTACAAACCAATATTGCTTAGAATAGGACACAACGGCACAGAGAGCACACAGAAGACGCGAAAACATTTAAATGACAAACTCGAATTCACACGCTTATGCGTACCCCAAAACAGGCGCCGACGGGCTCACGCGCACAACTGAACGTACAATACACATCAGATTCGCACTCAGGACATTTAACTTCATATTCCTATAACATCTTGGCTGGCCGCGTGCGTTTTCTGTGAAAAAATATTTGTTCTTAAATTATTAGAAAAAATATTTTGCTATGGCCTTCGGGCTCGGCTCCCCGGAGCTCGGGCTCGGACTCGCGCGCGGGCTCGGGCTCGGACCTCGGGGCTCGGATTCGAGCCCGGGCTCGGGGCTCGGACTTGGGGGGCTGTGGGCTCGAAGCTCAGGCTCGGACTCCGGGCGCGGGGCTCGGGGCTCGGGCTCGGGCGCGGGGCTCCGGCTCAGGCTCGGGCTCGGGGCTCGGGGCTCGGGCTCGGGCTCGGGACGCGGACTCGAGCTCGGGCTCAGGCTCGCTCGGACTCGGGCTCGGGCTCGCGCTCGGGCTCGGGTCGGGGTCAGGGTCGGGGTCGGGTTCGGGCTCGGCACGCGCTCGGGCTCGCGCTCGGGCTCGGGCTCGGGCTCGGACTCGGGTTCGGGCTCGGCACGCGCTCGCGCTCGGGCTCGGGCTCGGGCTCGGGCTCGGACTCGGGCTCGGGCTCGGGCCCGGGCTCAGGCTCGGGGGCCGAGGCGCTGGGCCAAGTCGACCCACTGCGACCACCACCACGACCACGGCCACCGCCACGACCACCACCACGACCACCACCACGACCACCACCACCACCACCACAACCACCACGATCATAACCACGACCCCACCACGACCACCACCACCACCCCCACGACCACCACCACGACCACCCCCACGACCACGACCACCACGACCACCACGACGACCACCACCACCTCCACCACGACCACCACCACGACCACCACCACGACCGCCACCACGGCCTTCACCACGACCACCACCACCACGACCACCACGACCACCACCACGACCGCCACCACCACGACCACCACCACGAGCCTCACCACCACGACCTCCACCAGCACGACCACCACGAGCAAGACGACCACGACCACGACCACCACCAGCCCCACCACCACCCCCAGCACCACAACCCCGAGCACATCCGAGCACCACTTTCCCACCACGACCACGACCCCCACCACGACGACCAGCACGACGACGACGACGACCACCACCACCAGGACCACCACCATCACAACAACCACCACCACGACCACCACGACGACCAGCACGACGACCACCACCTCCACCACGACCACCACCACCAACACGACCACCACCACCACGACCACCACTGTGAGGTTGGACGCGACCCCCACCACGACCGCCATCACGACCCCCAACCACGACCACCACCACGACCACCACCACGACCACCACCACGACCACCACGACGACCACCACGACGACCACCACGACGACCACCACGACGACCACCGCGACCACCACGACCACCACGACCACGACGACCGCCACCACCACGACCACCACCACCACGACCACCACCACCATGACCGCCACGACCACGACCATCACCACGACCACGACCACGATCACGATCACCACCACCACCACGATGGGTCGGACGCAATGGGGTGGGCGTTATTGGGGCTGACGCTATGAGGGCCAGCTTTGTGGGGGTGTCCGCTATGGGGTAAACGCTATGGTGGTGCACGCTATGGGGGTCAACGTTGTGTTAATAAACGCTGTTGGACTGGATGCAACGGGGCCGGACGCTATGGGGTGAGCGTTATTTGGGGTGGACGCTATGGGGACCAACGCCATGGGGGTGGACGGTGTGGGGGTGGACGCTACGGGGGTGGACGCCGTGGGGTGGTCGCTAAGTGTGAAATCGGCGATGGATGTGTTGGCGGGGCTCGCGAAGCGTTGTGCATTACCATGTGGCTCGGGCTCGGGCTCGGGCTCGGGTCGGGGTCGGGATCGGGGTCGGGTTCTGGCTCGGGCTCGGGCTCGGCACGCGCTCGGGCTCGGGCTCGGGCTCGGGCTCGGGCTCGGACTCGGGCTCGGGCCCGGGCTCGGGCTCGGGCTCGGGGGCCGAGCCGCTGGACCAAGTCGACCCACTGCGACCACCACCACGACCACGGCCACCGCCACGACCACCACCACGACCACCACCACAACCACCACCACGACCACCACAACCACCACGATCATCACCACGACCCCACCACGACCACCACCACCACCCCAACGACCACCACCACGACCCCGACCACCACCACGATCACCCCCACGACCACGACGGCCACGACGACCACCACCACCTCCACCACGACCACCACCACGACCACCACCACGACCGCCACCACGGCCTTCACCACGACCACCACCACCACCACCACGACCACCACGACCACCACCACGACCGCCACCACCACGACCACCACCACGACCGCCACCACCACGACCACCACCACGAGCCTCACCACCACGACCTCCGCCAGCACGACCAACACGACCACCACGAGCAAGACGACCACGACCACGACCACCACCAGCCCCACCACCACAACCCCGAGCACATCCGAGCACCACTTTCCCACCACGACCACGACCACGACCCCCACCACGACCACCAGCACGACGACCAGCACGACGACCAGCACGACGACGACGACCACCACCACCACCAGGACCACCACCATCACAACAACCACCACCACGACCAGCACGACGACCACCACCCCCACCACGACCACCACCACCAACACGACCACCACCACCACGACCACCACTGTGAGGTTGGACGCGACCGCCACCACGACCG